CTGGCAAATACCACCTGTGGCTGGCCCCAGAGTGGGGTGGGAATGGAGATTTTGCAATAAGCTTCCCCTGGAGTGGGGTGGGAATGGAGGTTTTGCAGTATCCTTCCCCTGCCACGCTCACCAAGCCACACCCACCAAGGCACACCATGCCCACCAAGCCACGCCCACAGAACCGGTAGTAAAAAAAATTGGATTTCACCACTGGACACAGCAATGGTCATAAATATGAACCAGTTGTCAAGCATCCAAATTTTGATCATGTGATCATGTGATCATGATGATTCTGCAATGGTTGTAAGTGTGAAAATGGCCATAAGTCACTTTTTTCAGTACCACTGTAACTTTGAAGGATCATTAAACAAATGTTGTAAACCAAGGACTATCTCTACTGTATATTTTTGCTTTTTTCTCAGGTTTGGTTTGGTTTTTTTGCCTTCAAGTCAGATTTTGCTACACGGACAAATCCATGCAATTTTCAAGACAGCATTTGCTACTGAGTTCTTCCCAGAGCTAAGGTGGAGCAACTGGCCAAGGTCACCCCACTCGTTTCTGCATCTAAAGTAAAAATTAGAACTCAAATTTTGGTGCTCCTAATCCGGTGCCTTAACCATTAGACAAAATTATCTCTCATCTTCAACATTAACTGTCAGATATTGCCTGCATATGATGCACCAGAGACTAGAAGGGGCTAAGTCTTTACAGACATCACATGTGACTATATCAGCCAATGAACTCTTTTGTTGGACTCTTACCTAGAAACCACTTGGATATCTTCCCCTTTTTTTCTCTCTCTCTCATCTATCTCTCAGCGAGACAACACATGAACTTCTCTCTCCTCTCAACATCTGAGTCATACAGTTAGGGTAAAAATGCAACAGGACACCCTGTTCATTATTGTATGCATGTATATATTTGTAAATAATAAAACAACCTTTTGAACCTGAAGCTGCATTGACCAAATGACTTCCTCCTAGAACCAAATGAGCACAACCATCAATATGTATCTGATATTAACACTGTCCAATACTAGTGGTATTGTTTACTGGAAATGACCATGAAATTGTGTTAAATGTTTCCACCCCCTCCAAAAAAACACACAATTATGGAGCCGTATAGGCACTGCTAATATTCATGACTTGTGCTTTCTGCCCTGTTTGCAGAGATGTTTGAAGGGACCAAAACTGAGTAAATTTGAACCAGTTCATCTTTTGGGATAGTCACTGAGAGCCTGCCGATTAGCTTTTCTATATAGAGGCTCCATTATCTGTTTTGCAGTTTATTCAGTGTAACGTTCGCTACCTGAGACATAATTGTAGATATTTCACATTTAGCTATCTGTGTGAAGCTGCAGGCTAAATTTATGAACGTGTCTTTCAAACATTGCAAGACATATTGCCGGGGGGGGGGGGGGGGGGGGGAAAAGAAAAAAAAAGCATCTTGCTGATATTTACTGAAAAGATGAGCTGAGCTTGCTTTTCAAAGCTCCATGGATTAATTAAAGCTAAAATGTCATTCATGTATATATCATATGCATTTTTCCAGGCACAGATGTCTGTCTGGTGCCAATATGCTGTTTATGTACTTATCTGTCTCAAGCACATGGCCATGGACATATGCCCTTCTGGCATGGGCACACCATGTAGCCAGAGACGCCTATTAGGCTGCTAATGAATCATCGGCATTAAAAATGGACGGTTGACAGAGAAAACAGAATGTGGAACTTTCTAGAAACAACGTATCTTATTTTTCGAGCCATCTTTGAATTGCAAAATGGGAGGCAGATGATTTGTGGGTACGCTAACATCTGCAGGGCCTGAGTAGACGCCTGAAACGCAACTGGACTTTTCGCATGTTTCAGAAGGGGTGTTTTTGGCACAGCAATTATTTTAAATCCTAATGCTGGTGATGAACAAGAGTGCGACGGCTGCTGAGGAATTCTGAACAGCTAGAGCAGATGTTTGGCTTATATCAACAGCAGGAGTTCTACATATTTGAAACGGGGAGGAGAATACTCCATATTCTTGGCACAGAAGTAATATATGTTGCCTCCGCTCTGTTTCTTCCCTGACCAGGGTCTGCAGCAGCTTTTGATCCAAAGTCTGAGAGGAAGTTTCAAGAGCTAAATGATTGGGCAATCTTGTACACTAGACATGGAGGCCTTAATATATTTGTTAGATGTATACCCCATCTTTTCTCCAACAGCTTGAGCCAGGATCAATTTACATGAAAAATCTCCATTTCATCTGAACCACATGGGTTGAACTGGGAGAGAGTGAATGACTCAGGGGTGAAATCCTCCTGGATCGGACCGGATCACCCAATCCGGTAGCGATCTTGGCCAGTGGTTCGGCGATCCGGTAGTGACGGCGAAGCTTAGCTCTGCCCACCCCGCCGGTGTCATTACTTTTCAGACTTGGATTTTTTACCTTCTGCGCATTCGCAGAAGGTTTTGCGCATGTGCAGAAGATCTGCATGCGCCTGTGATGCGCGGCGCATGAGCTTCTGAACCGGTAAGGAAGGTAAGTAGATTTCACCCCTGGAATGACTTGATGTCCTTCAGTTGAGCTTCTGTAGCTGAGTTTGGTCTTCTCATTCCTAGGATAACACTTTAACCACTGCACCAAACCAAACTTTAAAACAATTTTATTGGTAGCGATGCTCCTAGGAGCTATATTTTAGGATCTTGGGGAATAAAACAATATTATTCTTTTCAGACTTGGATTTTAATCAGAGCTGTATAAATCAAATCGTAGCATGATCAATTGCTGTTAATTGAAGACATGTTCTAAACGTGTGCCATCGCAAGACACCCCTATCCCTGCCCACAGTTTGATGGCTGATAGAACAGATTAGATTGTTACACATTTTTTAATTTGAAAAAGAGACTATATCTTCCTGAAACTTTGGGGAGTCAGCATCAACTCAAAATTGTCCCTGGCCATACCTAAGCCAGAGGAATTATAGGACTGACTTAAAATTATTTTTAATTTGATTATTTTAATCCTGAATTTAAATATCTCTGTAAATTTTTAGTTAGGTGTCACTTTCTCATACTCTGAGCCTAACCTATCCCCCAGTTTGGGAGCATTCCCCGTGAGAAATCAACTTCTTTCCTCTATTTTAGAAAGCAAATAATTTCACTATTGGAATTCCTTTTTAAAATTGCTATTTGTAAATATATTGAACGCAAGTGTCAGACTTCAAGAACAGATGGGAAAGCAGGATACACAGATGGAAAAATCTTCACTTCCTTAGAGGAGCGTTATAAAATATAAACTACAGGGAAGAAATAGTTCACTTTTAAAATTTATAATACAACCATATCGGGCATCTAACATGGTTTAAAAAACAATATATTAAGACATTTATGTGATACATAAACACTTGTTTCTCAGGGCGTCAAGTATTAACACATTTCCTAGTCCAGTACTGAATTACTACTTCATTGCTGTCACATGGCAGCAAAGCTTTCCAAATTTCCCACAGTGCTATGAATTCTGGAAAATGGCCCCACTCTTTTCAAGGCTTTCAGATCTTCTTCAAAAGTATTCATAGTAAAAAATAAATTTGACCTTCAAGATGGACCCCGTTTTGTTGGGGGTCCATTTCAAGCTCAAAGTTGTGGTAAACATCTTCATACTTGTATTTAGAAACCTTGAGCAAGGGCTCAGAAGACGATGAGTAATTTTCTCGTGCTATTGCAAGTGAAACAATAGGATCTTCTGGCATGTGCTGCTAGGGCTCATCTTGCTGCCAAACTCCAGAGCCCTGTAAGGTAGAGAATGCCAGAATGACAATCTCGAGAGCAGCAATTGAGGAGACTCCATCCATCCTTATTGTGCTGTTTCAGATAATGAGTTATAGTGAATTAGTTACCTTAAGAATTAAGAGCTGTCTCCTTAAGAGATTTCATTGTGGGAGATGTAGAGAGAGATTGCATTATGGGAAATGTAGTCCATGACATGTGACCACATATGTGTGTCTGGCCACTGAGTCTCTCTGCCTGGGTGCAGAACAAAGACCCAGCCAATTTGAACTACCACAGAAGACAGAAACATGCTTTCTGAACAGCGGGACAGAACTACTGTCATTTTACACTAGGAAATGGGATAGATTATGAAATACTTGGTTGAACCTCACCTTGACTCACCATGATTGCAAGTCTATGTTTTGAGGATACCCAAAATAAATATAATCTGCATGAAAACCTGTTTGCTAGAGTTTATCTGCCTGTTCCCAGTGGAGTCAGATGCCTGGGGAACAGAACACTTATAATGATCAATCCTCATTTTATTATCTCTACTTTTTAAATATACCCTTCTTCTATAATAAACAATTTTATTCCAGAATATTCGTATACAGGTAGTCCTCAACTTACTACCACAATTGAGCCCCAAATTTATTTTGCCGAGTGAGAAATTTGTTAAGTGAGTTTTGCCCCATTTTTACGACTTTTCTTGCCACCTTTGTTAAGTGACTCACTGCAGTTGTTAAGTTAGTAATTTTGTTCAGTGAATCTGCCTTCCCCGTTGACTTTGCTTGTCAGAAGGTTGCAAAAGGTGATCACATGACCCCAGGACACTGCAACTGTCATAAATATGAACCACTTGTCAAGTGTAAATACTACCTGTATTTTGATATTAGGAGCTAAGTTACAGAAACTCCATTTGATTCCTCAATCAAGAGGGCTACATTATGATTTAAACCAGTGGTGAAATCCAATTTTTTTTACTACCGGTTCTGTGTGCGTGGCTTGGTGGGCATAGTGTGGCTTGGTAGGCGTGGCTTGGTGGGTGTGGCAGGGAAAGGATACTGCAAAATCTCCATTCCCACCCCACTCCAGGAGAAGGATATTGCAAAATCTCCATTCCCACCCCACTCTGGAGCCAGCCAGAGGTGGTATTTGCTGGTTCTCTGAACTACTCAAAATTTCTGCTACCGGTTTTCTGAACTGCTCAAAATTTCCGTTCTCTAGAACCTGTCAGAACCTGCTGGATTTCACCCCTGATTTAAACTCTCCCTGTTGTTTATCTGTATCACATGTAAAAAAAAAATTGTCAGAGCTTTGATCTCAGCATTGGGGCCACCATCTTGATTTTCTTACCATACATTGCAGACATACCTGAATCTTCATCTAGAAAATTGCTCTGGATGAACATGCCGTTCGAAAAATGAATTTTATTTATTTATTTATTTTATTTTATTCAATTTGTATACCGCCCTTCTCCTAGTGGACTCAGGGCGGTGCACAGCCAGAACTAAAACACATACCAATACAAAATTTAAAATTATTAAAAGAATTACATACTTTGGCCCAAATTAAAACAATTCGAATTAAAACCCATTGACAGATTAAAAGCTAAAAAGCTAAAAAACTAAAAGAAGGGGAGGGTTCACGCCAGCCCTGCTTGATGGAAAAGAAAAGTTTTCAGGGCATGGCGAAAGACGCGGAGATCCAATATCCTTCTTATCTCTGGGGGCAAATCGTTCCAGAGGGCAGGAGCTGCCACAGAGAAGGCCCTCCCCCTGAGGGTCGCCAGCAGACATTGGCTGGCTGACGGCACCTTGAGGAGTCCCTCTCTGTGGGAGCGTACTGGTCGGTGGGAGGCTATTGGTGGCAGAAGGCGGTCCCGCAAATACCCAGGTCCTATGCCATGGAGCGCTTTAAAGGTGGTAACCAACACCTTGAAGCGCCTTGAATTTTCAAAGCAAATTCCTACAGCTATTTTGCTACTTTTTTTGAGTTTGAATTGAGTTCTATCATTACAAATAATGAAGTATTTGTAACAGTATTTCTTTGCTGTGGAGATGTGTTTTCCAAAACAAATTTTGAAAATTTGTCAAATTTTATATATATACATATATAATTCTATGTCAGTTGAAAATTAAAACTAAGAATGTTTATGTATTGAATTAACAAGAGCATCAGTGGATAGAGCCCATGAAAAAATTATTTCTCTCAATAGAAATTACAGCTCCTTCAAGTATTGTAGTAAGGGTTCCAGTGGCATATCTTGGCCATAACGAAAAGGCCGAAATGCTTTATCAATTTTTAGAGGACTGAGGCACAGGTCATAAATTTGATTGTAGTTATGGATCAAACGCTTGGCCTTTTCTTTTTCCAGCTTACCTGTAGTTCATAAAAAAAACAATAGTTTTTCTATTTGGACAAATCAGATGTAATAGCATATTGTGGGTATCCTTGAAGAGATTCAGTGTAATGTCAAGGCATAGTTTAATGTTATAGGAATTACTGTGACTGCTGTGCTCAATTCTTATTCATTTTTTAATGAGGGGGAGATGTGAAAAATGTCCCCTTCTGGAACGATTGGGCTGCAGTGGGGATAGAGTGATAGAAGCAACAGTAAAATAAAAAGCTAAAGGAGTCCCTGCGGATTTTACTGCGCTAGTTGTTGCGGACTATAGGGGCCGATACTCATCTCTGTTTCAAGGCCACTGAGCCAGTGATGTCCGAAGACATTACTGCGATCATGTGGCCAGCTTGATGCCATGGAGCACTGTTACATTCCCACTGAAGTGGTACCTGTTTATCTATTCGGTTTTATATGCTTTCAAACTGCTAGGTTGGTAGGAGCTGGGATGAGGACGGGAGTGGCGCTCGGGTCTCGAACCTGAGCTTTCCAGCCGACAAACCCAGCATCTTAACTGCTGAGTCACCGCACTGGTGCTTTAAGAAGAATAGAATAGAATAGAATAGAATAGAATAGAATAGAATAGAATAGTCAGATGTAAATGCCTTATTCTCCAATGTGTAAATAATGTATATGGAACATCAGAGGTTAACTTATTCTTTGGACTTTAATGTATTCATAATTTACCACTCCCATTCCTAGCTCCACCCCTTGTATATATAAGGAGCCACCCTCACCATTCTCGGTGCTTCTACCTTGAATATTCAGTGAATATAGAATGCCTATCATAATTAAAAAGAAATATATTTAAAGCTCTAACTCCTATTATCTTTATTGAGTCTGATCCTGAAAATATTGCAACAAGCTGGTAGCAGAGGATGGTTAATTGACTCAATAAGTAATTAAAAATGTCCAAGAAAGATAGGCCCAACACCAGGGCCTACAGCAAAGAAATAGAAACTGATCAAGAGATGATCAACGAATCCACCAATGCGATTTCGAGAGAATCCGAAGAATACACCACTGAAGAAGAAGAACTAATGAGTGAAAATAATGACCAGAAAGAAATCGAAATAGAAAATAACGAACTCAGGTCAGAGATATTAAAGATACTAAAAAGCCAAAAGAATGATGAAAGTCTCATCGCGGACCTCCAGGAGATGCTGAAGAACAGCGGAGCAGCGAGAGAGAAAAACGTCATTAAAGAAAAACCCAAAGATCAAAAAACCGTAAGTGAGATGACTACTGAGAAAATAGTTGTTAAAAAGAAAAGATGTGATCCCGCGCGAAATTTTGAATGGCAGCCATCTTGGTTTCAACGAACTTCAAAAGAGAATGGAGCAGAGCCAATCAAAACGCTCAGTTCAAAATTTCTGGCGCGAAAAACACTATCAGACGAAGAAAGTGAGAAAGAAGTCTCAAACTCTTCAGATGATCCAAAATCAGAAAGTGAAGACGATTTAACAAAATCTCAAGTAAAATCAGCAATGAAAACGCTTTTTGCTGCTTTTGGGCCAAGACTGAAAATTACCAAGACATCTACGAAGAAACAAGAAATCAAACCGGCAACTCAAGACCTGCACGCTCCCATCCTGACTTCGAAAGCGACGACGCCCGAGCCCAGAGAGCCATGCCGATTTCGCCCTACACCACAGACAAGATCGAATACCAACGCACACAAAAAGAAGAAAAGAACCGTCGCCACCACCAGAACCCCAAAAACCGAGCCAGAGACCGACTCATCTGAGGAGGAGCGGATCGAGAGAGCTGAAAGGGAGAGAACCTTCCACGACGCCACCAAAGAAGAAATGAGCAACGCGCATGTGCGAAACTACGTAGACGACCCAGAAGGACTTGAACTGGCCAGAGAACCGCGCAGACTCATTGCAAGCATCCCAATGCCGTTCTGTAATTTCCTGCACTTGAGAGATCACGGACTGCCCCAGGTTGTAAGTAATGGACAGAATAATGTAGGTAACTTACCCAGTGACTTCCCAAAACTTAGAATTGATGGCATTAATTTACAAGAGTGGTATCAACAGCTTCAGGTTATTTTCATGAAAGAAAATTTACTATTCTTTATAACTAGCCCTCCAAGAAGACCTTGGACTTTAAAAATAGATTGTTTACATCATAGAGCATTTTTCATAATAATATCTAGCGTGTCTCCTGCAATGTATCATAGCATCAAACCAAACCTAACTGTATCAGAAATAATTCAATGCATGTTTAATCTATTTCACAGCGATAGCGTAGCTACCACCACAAGAATGTCTAAGGATTTCTTTTCCTCTAGAGTAAAACCAGGGTTTCTATAAGTGAGCATTTGATAAATCTAAACAAAATAAGAGCTGAGCTACAATTGAGGGGGAAGTGATTTCAGATCAAACAATGAAAAGTGTTATTATCAATTCACTTGATCCATCATGGGATAGCTTTATGTCACACTTAGATACCATTAATTTGGGATATTTATCCATAGAAAGTCTATCTAACAAATTGATAGCAGAAGACAATTCAAGAAAAAATCGATCCAGTAACCAAACAGACCACAAACCTTTTAGGAAAGTAGTCTTTCAAGATAAACATAATGAGGCCTTTAGATGCTACAATTGTGGATCCAGGGAACATAGTAGAAGAGACTGCCCCAAAGTCTCAAGAGAGAGACATAGACCAGAATATAGGAGCAAATATAATTACAGACAATCTTCCACAGATAGACACAAATATAGAAGTCCACCAAATTACAAAGAAGGTAGAGGGGGTAGAGAAAATTCAAAAGAGAGGAAATCTGGGTCACTGAATGGGCTAAATAAACAAGACAGCACCAGAACACAGCAGGATGAGAATAACAATTGGCTTATTGATTCTGGTGCAACAAATCACACCACCAACAACAAAAGTATATTATCTTCATTTATAGAAGATAAGTTTGTGATAAAGGTAGCTAATCAAGAAAAGGTTCAAGTACTAGGCAAAGGAAATGTGACCTTGCCTGGTCTAGGGAAAATAGAGGGGGTATTATTAATCCCAGAAATACCTCACAACATACTAAGTGCCATAAAATTAAGCAGAGAATCTGATATCAATATAGTTTTCTCAAAGGGGAAAGCAACTATAGAAAAGAACAAAACAAATGTAGGTACTGTAATGATAAAAGGAGGTCTACCCTATCTGATAACTAAAGAAAGATGTTTACATAACATTGATTCAAATATGGAAGATTGTATTGAAGCAGATGATGAAAATGTCAGTAACAGTGACAATGATGAGTGTAGAATAACTCATGATCACAAAAATACATACAAGGAAAAGAAACCAAAAATAGGTAAACCAATTCATGATGAGTGTGCTCACATCTTACACAGGAAGTTAGGACATGCAAGCTTTCCTGTAGTACAAAAAAATGACTGAACACGCAGAAGGTGTCAAAATAAAAAATTGTGAAAATTATTTGGAATGCTCAGTATGTAAGTCCACCAAACTAAAAACCAGTCCCAGACCAAAAAAATCTAACAGATCAACTAACAATATTTTTGATTTGGTACATATGGACTTAGTTGGTCCATTAAGTCCCTCAATTACCTATAGAAAACGTTACTTCCTAACAATAGTGGATGACTACAGCCGATATGGTTTTGTTTACACATTAAAGCACAAGGATGAAACATTTCAGAAATTTAAGGAATTCTACAAACGTATAGAAACACAACATAATATCAGAATAAAGCAAATTATGACAGATAGGGGATGTGAATTCATGTCTAAAGAATTCTCCCAATGGTTAAAGGATAGAGGAATGTTACATTTCACGTCCAATCCTTTTTCTGCATTTCAAAATGGAGTTGCAGAGAGGAAAAATTCCACACTACAAACCATGATTAGGTGCACATTAGAGGATGCTGGTTTAGGCAAACAATTTTGGTCAGAGGCATTACATTATTCGAATTACACTCAAAATAGAACCTGGTCCAGTATTGTGAATAAGACACCATATGAGGTGATGTACAATAGAAAACCCAAATTATCACACATGCACATATTTGGAGTCACTGCAGACGTACACATACCTAAACAATTGAGGAGAAAGGGAGAAAACGTATCCAGGAGATTAAGATTCATGGGATACGAAACTGGAACCAAAGGGTACAGATTTATTGATAGTAATAACAAATTTATAGTATCCAGAACAGCTGTGTTCCATGAACAGGCCAATTGGTCAAAATTGCACCTTAATGAAATATTTCCTAATAAATGTAAAGATACGATATCTTGCGAGGAAGGAACAACAGAAAATCAAAATATTAACAAAAGTAAGAACAAAACCAAAACTTGGACTAATAGTCAGCATAAAATAAAGACAGACACATTAACAAAAAAGGAAGCTAGATATTTGCATGATAACCATAGCAAGCCTGAAAGAACTATTAGAAACAATAGAAACCAAATACCAAATAAATACAAAGATTACATAATGCATATGAATGGAGAACAAATAACACCTAATACATATGAAGAAGTATTGAAACTTCCACATGAAGAAAGAGAAAAATGGGAACTAGCTATGGAAAAAGAGATGGAAAGTTTACAAGGATTAAATGTATTCACACCTGCGATCGCACCTAAGGATAAAACAATTATAGGTACCAGGTGGATTTATAAAATTAAGAACTTAGAAGGAGGCAATACCTTATACAAGGCTAGATTAGTTGCACAAGGCTATGCACAAAAATATCCTGAAGACTATACTGATACATATTCACCCACAGTGAGAATAGAGAGTGTCAAAACAGCCCTTGTAGTAGCATCTGCACTCAATCTGGACGTATTCCAATATGACATACAGACCGCATACTTACATGCAAAATTAGATAAGGAAATATATGTAAGAGCACCACACAGTCAATACACTAATAAGAACGAAATTTGGTTATTAAATAAGAGTCTGTACGGATTAAAGCAATCCGGCAAAAGATGGTACGATTGCTTGGTAAAAGTACTTAAGACCATGGATTTCAACGCCACCACTGCTGATAACTGTTTCTTTGTAAAAAAGAGTAATGATCATATTGAATTTGTATTAATTTACGTGGACGATATTTTATACATTGGAAAGCATAAAGAGAGCAGGGAAATCTTTGTAAATAAGTTAAATGAACACTTCTCACTGAAATCTCTGGGTAAAGTGAATAAATACCTTGGTGTGCAAATTAACAAAACTAAAGGGGATTCAAACTTACACAGAAAGATAAAATCATCGAACTCCTAAACAAATGTAACTTAAATAATGCCAAAACCTGTGACACCCCTATGCAAACTGATTTTCTTAGAAACACTGATGAATCTTCCCCTGAGTTTAAAGACAACACATTTTACAGATCAGTTATAGGTTCACTCCTTTATATATCTAATTGGACTAGGCCAGATATTGCATTACCTCTCAATCTATTGTCAAGATATGTTAGTAAACCAACCTTGTATCATTGGGAAGCTGTCAAAAGAATTCTAAGATATCTGAAGGGTACATTAGATTTTTGTTTAATGTTGGAACCCAATAATGACAGAGAACCAAAAATTACTTGTTATGCTGATGCAGATTGGGCTGGTGATACATCATGCAGAAAGAGTACTTCTGGTTATGTTTTTCTATTGAATGATTGTCCAGTTTACTGGTATACTGGTAAACAAGAACTAGTAGCCACTTCTACTACAGAAGCGGAATATGTTTGTTTGTCCAAGGCTGCAAATAACCTTGTATGGTTCAATGATCTGATCACTGATGTTTGGAAGAAACCCACCTTACCATTTATTATGCATGAAGACAATAAAGCGGCCATTGAAATATCCAGATCCGATGCAATTGGACAAAGGTCCAGGCATATTGATATAAAGTTTAAGCATGTGAGACAACTGTCTCAAGACGGATTCATTAAAGCAATACATTGCGATACTTCTGAACAATTAGCTGACATATTAACAAAACCCTTACCTTCTAAACAACACAAATATTTAACTTCTAAATTATATGTATTATATTGTCCTGAATCAGAATGTAATTGATGTTGTGTAACGAACCGGCATTTAGAGGGGGATTTGTCAGATGTAAATGCCTTATTCTCCAATGTGTAAATAATGTATATATGGAACATCAGAGGTTAACTTATTCTTTGGACTTTAATGTATTCATAACTTACCACTCCCATTCCTAGCTCCACCCCTTGTATATATAAGGAGCCACCCTCACCATTCTCGGTGCTTCTACCTTGAATATTCAGTGAATATAGAATGCCTATCATAATTAAAAAGAAATATATTTAAAGCTCTAACTCCTATTATCTTTATTGAGTCTGATCCTGAAAATATTGCAACAGAATAGAATAGAATTAGAATAGAATAGAATAGAATAGAATAGAATAGAATAGAATAGAATAACAGAGTTGGAAGGGACCTTGGAGGTCTTCTAATCCAACCCCCTGCCCAGAAACCTAAAGCATGCTAATTGTTTGTCAATACACCACCATGTACAGGTAGTCCTCGATTTACGACCATATTTGAGCCCAAAATGTCTAGGCAAGACAGTTAAGTGAGTTTTGCCCCATTTTATGACCTTTCCTGCCACAATTGTTAAGTGAATCAGTGCAGTTGTTAAGTTAGTAACACGGTTGTTAAGTGAATCTGGCTTCCCCATTGACATTATTATTATTATTATTATTATTATTATTATTATTATTATTATTATTATTATTATTATTTATAAAATTTGTATGCCACCCTATCTCCAAGGACTCAGGGCGGCTCACACAACAATCGACCAACAACTGTTAAAATCAATAAATATACACAAAAAAATATAAAAAGATTTTAATTTTTTTTAAAAAAGCCTTGATAGCACAGTGGTCTAAGCACCCTGTTATTAACACAGCTGCCTGCAATTACTGCTGGTTCGAATCTCTCCAAGGCTCAAGGTTGACTCAGCCTTCCATCCTTTCTAAGGTAGGTAAATTGAGGACCCAGTTTGTGGGGGCAATAAGCTGACTTTGTATAAATATACAAAAGTATGAAGGCTATTGCTTAACGCATTGTAAGCAGCCCTGAGTCTCCGGAGAAGGGCGGCATATAAATCAAATTAAAAAAATAAAAATAAAAAAAATATACTACCCCATCAGTCCAGGCTGGAGGACATAAATAGCCAGGTTTTCAATTCACGGTGGAAGGTGCGAAGGTCAGGGGCCAACCGGAGTCCCAAGGGAAGTTGATTCCAAAGGGTGGGGGCGCTCACAGAGAAAGCTCTACTCCTGGGGGTCGCCAGCCGACATTGTCTAGCCGACGGCACCCTGAGTAGGCCCTCTCTGTGAGAGCGCACCGGGCGATGGGAAGTTGACGCTGGTTGCAGGTGGTCCGACAAATAGCCTGGGCCTAAGCCACTTTACTTGTCAGAAGGTCACAAAAGGGGATCACATGATCTTGAGAGATTTCAAACATCATAAAAACAGGCCAGTTGACCGTGGGGATGGTGGAGTGGTCATTATCACTTTGCATTGTTGTGAAAAATGGTCGTAAGCCATTTTTTTCAGTGCTGTTTTAACTTCGAACTTCGAACACTAAATGAATGGTTGGAAGTCAAGGACTACCTGTATAAAATACCTCTATTACACCATTGCTAATGACTTCTTAGGTGGCTCCAGACATATACCGGTACATCTTTATATATGACATCTAATACTATTAGTGGTCATGTAATAGTATTATGACATCTAATACAATGAAATTCTGTGTCATGGCATCTAAAATCAAGAAGTTGATCGTCCCTTAAAAACATGCTTACTTTACTTTTTTTCCTCATATTGTTTTTGAAATATATTTTTAGTGTATTTGATATAGAATAATTTTATACTGGTGTTAGATTTCTCTGTATTAATTATTTATTAATTTATACTTAGGTTTGGTTTATGGAAACAAGCAGGATTTTAGACGCAGTTCAGATTAAACTTTATTGCCACCAAAGACCATCATAGAATAATACATATTATAAATAGGAAGGAAATAATACGATGAGCAAAAGCAAGCATACAAAGTCCATTGGTTTCTACTGTGGTGTCTGATAATACTACAATGGACTTTGTATGCTTGCCTTTCCCCATCATATTATTTCCTTCCTATTTATAATATATTATTCTAAAATGGTCTTTGGTGGTAATAAAGTTTAATTTGAACTGTGTCTCAAATCTTGCTTGTTTCCACACAATGCACATTGCAGAGACTGAGGAGACAGCTTTCCCTTTCTAGAAATCTCTTCCATAAATTCTCTACCCACTGGATAAGATCAACCTCCATGCATTAACTATGTTTCCCGATCAAGCTCTTTGTCGGTACATACACAGCATGGAAACGTAGCGCTGGAGCTGGCAGCACATATGATGATATGATCAAGGCCAATGTGTACAACCAGTTGTGCCTCTGTGCATTCTCAGAATTACAGAAATTAAGGTTTACAGTTTGCTTGAATCACCCAGCTGCGCTTATAGAATAGAATAGAATTCTTTATGCAGATAGAAAGTAAAATACGCCATCTATCTTCAGTATCTTCAGGTAGTTAAGCAGAGCCTTGTTTAAGGTGGGATCAGCCTTACCTGTGTTTTTGACATCAGATAAATAAAGGGCTTTCTCCATTTTTCTGAACCGGTCTATCCAGGCCTCTTGGTCTTCAGAATCACTGGCATCATATGAAGTCCATGGATTAACAGTTTGAAGTTTATACTGTTCTTTAATCTTCAAAGGAACATGTGATATTATCAGAAGTTTAGCATTTGTCAGCTCTCATAATAAAATTGTGGTGAAGAACAGTACTTAGTTCACTCTTAGAGCTCCTCCTAACATTTAGTAATTATTATATACAATTTATTCTTTAAAATCAACATATCAAATTCGTGGCTTTCTGTGACAAGGTCACTTGTATGATGCAAGCATTTTGGATTCTATGAATATCCAAATTAAACCTTCTTTGTTTGGCATCTTCAGCTCTTAATGACTGAGCCAAAACTGAAATTCTTCTTGAGGGCCCCAGACTGGGGACAGGCTGTCCTAGATAAAGCTGAGTTTTTAATCTCATTTTTTACACTGGAAATTGGTATTCCAACAGGTTGTATTAAATAGAAAGAGCATATACATAGATTTCTTAATAATTTGTGTTAATAAAACTATAAACAATATTACTGTTTTATGAACAAGAATTCTTAGCATAGGAAATGGTGTCAAGATTAATTAAATCAATTAAATAACGAGCAGTGCATAATTTTCCATTAAGAGTTTGTGGATTTAGCAATAGGGATTTTACAGTACCTGAGAGTTATCTTCAGCTTTGTCCTCGTTTCTTCCTAAAATGGAAACAATCATGACATTTTTGTTTATTCAGTTGAAAGAGTAGTTTAATGACTCAATTTATCAAGCATCGGCTTCTCTCAAAGGTGATAGGAAGACATTTCTGAACCTATGAATGCTAATAGTTTGAACATTAATTTCTGATATGATTGTAATAGTACAATATAAAAAAATAGAGCTGTACTGAACTTGTAGAAATGTTGATAAAGTTCATATCTCAACATCATGAGCTGTTGAAATACTGGGCTTGTAGTTCAGCAACATCTGGACACCTACAAATTGCCTAATTCCGCTTTTGAAAATGTAAATATATCTGACTGTGATGTAATAGAATAGAAAAATCCTGAACAGGAACTCTTCAATGACAAACCAACTTGAACTAATAAAAAGGGAGAACAGTGACCATTTTTCAAAAGAGAAATGAAAGGATAACGATAGGAGGGAAGACAGGGCAAATGTATAGTTACAGAGATGATGATAGCGCTTCAATTATTGCTGTAATTACTTATGGAGGCTCATTCGTGTTTTTCTCCCTTAAACTGTCAACCTTGTAAGGGTTGCCCTTTTTTCATCATAAAATAATCTCATTCCCACATTTCTCTCGATTTCAGTTTTCATATCCTTCAGTTAAATCCTGTAGTTTGTCATTCGTATTGATTGGACATTATGGATAGAAGACCAGATTGTACAGCATAAAATTAAATGATGGAAAAGCATGAATCAAGTCCCAGAAATGAAAAGCAATCCTCATTGGAAACGCAGCTGGTTTGCCTATAGCCAGATGGTTAAAGTTCAAGGCCAACTGTTGCATCCTGATCGGTTTCTGTAGCAATGATTGCAATTGGCTCACCTTTGCATTTAGTCATCCCCTGAATATTAAATATGCCAGAGTGCTTTCTCAAACATAATTAGATTAATGCACCATCTAACTCAATGTTTCACATCCATCTCTCTACCAGCAGTCTGTAAATCACATGCCCAACTGTTCTAATTGTTCCTAACAGATGTATTGCAATGGTCTGAGAAGCCAACGAAGATGAGAGTAGTTTTAGACTGCTTGTTTTGTGGGTGTACTTTAACAGTTTAACAACAATAGATAGAGGAGGTATTATAAGACTGCAGCATCATCGGGAATAATAGCAATAGCAATAGACTTATATACCGCTTCCCAGTGCTTTACAGCACTCTGTAATAGGTTTGCAGAGTCAGCATATTGCCCCCAACAATCTGGGTCCTCATTTTACTGACCTCGGAAGGATGGAAGGCTGAGTTGACCTTGAGCTGATCAGGATCAAACTCCTGGCAGTGGGCAGAGTTTGCCTGCAATACTGCATTCTAACCACTGCACCATCCACAGCTCTTGGGAATAAACCCCTGGTTCCCTTCCTCAGCCTATGATCTACAGACATGTTGCAACTACTCCCAGAATTCTTAGAGCAAATGGGATTGCAATCCTAAAATATCTTTTGGGCATTTGGTTGGAAGAAACTACATTCTTCTGTTTTCTACATGAGGGAGTGTGAGAAAATAAAGGGCAAACATCACGGAGCATGAGGAAAGCATGCTACCATGTTTCCCTGAAAATAAGACCCTGTTTTATATTTTTTTGAACACTGAAATAAGCGCTTGGACTTATTGCCATGCGCTCAAAAGCCCGATTGGGCTTATTATCAGGGGATGTCTTATTTTGAGGGAAACAGGGTAGATGAAAGACATTATCTCCATCATGACCTTTAAAATAGTGAAAAGCAACTGTAAAAAATGCAGTTCTCATGTTTACAGAATGACTTCAATTCTCCTGTTTCAGATTTTTTAAAAATATTCATCATAATCCAGAGTATTATCATATATGAAACATGCTGTCAACATGACTAGTGATATTATTAACTGTATTGTCTAGCTTGCAGTTTATCCAGACAAGATTATTCACTTTTCTTTTTTTTTCTTTTTTTTTTTTTAATTTGATTTATATGCCGCCCTTCTCCGGAGACTCAGGGCGGCTTACAGTGCGTTAAGCAATAGCCTTCATACTTTTGTATATTTATACAAATATACTTATACTTATATATTTATACAAAGTCAGCTTATTGCCCCCACAAACTGGGTCCTCATTTAACCTACCTTAGAAAGGATGGAAGGCTGAGTCAACCTTGAGCCTTGGAGAGATTCGAACCAGCAGTAAATTGCAGGCAGCTGTGTTAATAACAGGGTGCTTTAAACCACTGTAGTACCAAGGCTCAAGTACCAAGTATCAAGTATCAAGTATCAAGTACCAAGGTGAAGTTGCATTATTCATTCAGGGTACATGGCGGATTGACTGTACCAGCTGAGACAATATTTACGTATTGCAAAGAGAACCGCCATAGGAATGTACTTGTAGAAGAAAGCCATCAAAACATCTATTTTTGCATGAAGTTGTTGTATTGGATGCATGCCAAAAAAAACTAACTTGTTGAAATTTGTTCTAGACTGTGAGGTCAAACTGTAATGTGACTCTTTATAATTTATAAGAGTAAACAAAACTGTCCAAGTTCTATCTTGCCAGATACTCCATTTAGAAGAAAATTGTGTAGCAAAATTATTACTAATTTCTGTTTATATGGCAACTTTGAATCCATGCCAACACAAATGATCAAATGTTAGGAAAAGAGAGAACATATTTAACTATTTTGTCAAAGCACTCAAATTAGCTGACAACAGGATAGTAGGACGGAAGTGAAATGAGAGAGTAAATATATTGAGACCGATCAATGGCCAAAATAGGACTTATGACTGAATATTAGAGGTTTTGGAGTTCTGCCATTTAGAGCTGGCATCAAAAACTGTGAACTTGTATGACAGCCATAGTTAAGTAACACTGATGATTTTTGCCTTACAAAACTTTCCAAAATTCTAGTGATGTGAATTGTATGCCCTTTAGAAGACAATGCAAAAATGGCTTCTTAACAAAGACCCAGAGGGACATGACATTAATGAATTATAGGCATTGGAAAGTAAATTTTCTATTAACTTAGAAAAATAAATGATTTAGACTTGTTTATATGCAAACATTTTATAGTCATTCTTAGGCATTAATTCTTCTTCTTCTTCTTGTGCCATATCTGTCATCGGACGTTGGCGATCATGTTGGCAAAAAAGTGCTGCTGAGTTTTGTCCAAACCAGTCCCTTAGGTTTTGAAGCCATGATGTTCTTCTTCTGCCTGGATCTCATTTGCCTTCAATCTTTCCCTGGAGGATTAAGTGAAGGATGCCATATTTTTCTGGGTGTTGCATCACATGTCCAAAATATTCTAACTTTCACTTTTTAATGGCTTTGATTATTTCCCTTTGCTTTCCCAGGCGGCTTATCACCTCCTCATTTGTGATTTTGTTAATCCAATTTATACGTAACAGTCATCTGTAAATCCACATTTCAAATGCTTCTAGTTTCTTCAAATGGTTTTCTGTCAGAGACCAACTCTCTACTCTGTAGAGCAGGATAGAAAAGATGTAACATCTGACAAGGCTGATTTTCACCTTAGGCTTATGTTGTGACTGCAGAAGACCTTTTTCATTTTGAAGAATGCTCTTCGAGATTTCTATATCCTTGTCTTTACTTCACTGATCATGTCCCAGCTTTCATGTAAATTAAAGACGAAGTACGTGATCCTTTCAACTTTTTCTAATGGTATTCCTTCCGAATTTATCAGTGGTAAATTAATGGGTTGTTTGCTGACAACCATGATCTTGGTTTTTGAGGTGTTAAGCTTCAAGCCATATTTTTCAGATATTTCTGAGACTGTTGATGAGGAGCTGAAGGTCTTTATGCTTACTGGCAAGCAGAACTGTATCATCAGCATATCTTAAATTGTTGATCTGAACACCATTTACTTTGAGGCCAGCATCAATGTTTTCCAATGCTTCATTGAAAATTGACTCAGAGTAGATATTAAATAACAGCGGAGACAGAATACAGATCTATCTGACCCCTCTTCGTATTTCTGCATCATCTGAGTATTTTTGGCTTACTCTCACATTTGCTACCTGATGCCAATATCTAGGTATTAATAGAAAGTATTATTAGTGAACATCATGATGACCTTTCTTCCTAAAATAAACATCACTTCCTAGTTCGGAGAAAATATCATGTCCATTCTAAGGGAAGTTTATATGAATATATGTAAGGTTTACATGAAACCAGGATCATCATTACTTTTCTGTTTTGGAAAGGTTACATCATCTACAGAGCACCAGTAAATAGAACAAACTTACCATGAACAAATGTGTAGTATATTACAACATTCTACGGGAATGTAAAATGTATTATCATATTAATTTGATTAATGTGCTGAAAAATGGCAGTTAATTCCTTACTTTTACAAACAAGCAAAGCAGGATTCATTCCAGTTTGAACCTTCTGCAGCAACTCTACAAATGGTTTCCATCTACACATGGAAATATATTAAAAATTAAATACAATCAATATAAGCAGATTTATTTGACAGGAAAAAGAACCAGTGTGTTGAATTAAGTCATCTGTTCTGTACCAAGTGCTTTGGTTTATTCTATATGTCACTCCAGGCCTTTTCATCTACCCATCTGTGCCTAGCATGGATGGCCCCATTCACACCAGTGTCTAATCAGTCACCTCACAGCCATTTAAATTCTAAATTCTAACCTTTAAAATTCTAAAATTTCTAATTTAGAATTTCTAACAATTCTAAATTCTAAAATTGCACTAGGTACAATTTTTTTGGTCTTTTAATGACCCCGTAATCCCTTACATCGGGGTGGAGTCGGGGCAAATGAATGGAGCTGTGTGTTTACTGTCCAGATGCCCTTCCTGTTACCAATGCAGAGTTCGCAGCAGATAATTACTCACTGTGTCCAGAGAGAGAAATATTGACATGAAAGATACAATTGAGTTGGAGAAATCTCAGAGTTCCCTGCAAGAACAGGGAACTGGAGAACCTTCCATTAATTTTTTTTAAAAGTATACAGGTATGCCATCTACAGCCCCTTGTTACCACAAAACCACAACATAGCAATCAAATGCATGGGTTTCAGTTTCAATTTATCTTTCTATACCATATTTTATTTCTTTAGCAGGACTTTGTAAAGCTACTGGAACATCTTAAAGACCAGAATAACCTGAGATAATTTATCAAACATAAATACATTTAATTAGGAAATGGCTCAGAGCTGGATTTTAGTTAATTACAACAGAGTTTTATTCCCAATGGAAGTGGATGTTAAATGGAAGTGGATATTAAATTAGAGGATGCACAGGTAAATTAATGCTGATGACACATATATATCGCACAATTTATTTCATTTATAATAGAACACAAAAACATTTGGGGTCTTAACTCTGAGTTTGCCTAAGCTTTGCACAGACACCAAATATTAATGGTTATCACCTCTAAAGCGCTCCATGGATTAGGACCTGGTTATTTACGGGACCGCCTGCTACCACCAATAGCCTCCCACTGGCCAGCCCTCTCTATGGGGCTTCTCCGGGTGCCGTCGGCCAAACAATGTCAACTGGCGGCCCCCAGGGGGGAGAGCCTTCTCTGTGGGGGCACCTACGATCTGGAACCAGCTCCCCCCGGAGATACGGAGGATCTCGGATCTACGCACCTTCCGTCACGCGCTTAAGACTTTTTTATTTCATCAAGCTGGCCTGGCCTAAATCTTCTCCCCTTTTTAAATGTAAATTTTAATTTGTTTTTAAATTATGAGGTATTTTAAATTTGTCTCAGCCAAATTATTTAATTCGTTTTTATTCTATTTTAAATTTCTGTATCTATGTGTTTTATTCTGTGGCTGTTCACCGCCCTGAGTCCTTCGGGAGTAGGGCGGTATAGAAATTCAATAAAATAATAAATAAATAAAATAAATAAATTAAGGAAGGGATCCAATATTTTTGTCCTCTTCCTAGTGTTGTACATTAGTATCCATCTTAGAAGAGAGATGTTGCCAATGGCCTCTTTAATAACAGCAAGAACTAGTTAATGGAAATTGGAGTTCACTGAACAAATCTAGTCGCTTCTATAAACACTGTAAGTGTTTCATTTCTAGCATCACACCATTTCAATCATGCTACCATGTTCAGAGCTGATCTATAGGTTGCATTTATTTTGATATTTTTACCCCACCATTTTTTCATTTGCAGCTCAAGGTAGTGAACATACCTAATATAATCTTCCTTCACTAATCCTCCTATTTTTCCCCACAACAATGACGGCTGAGAGTGTGTGAGTGACCCAAAGTCACCCGGCCAGTTTTTCATGCTTAAAGCAAGACTAAAATTCAGTCTCCTGGTTTCTAATCTAGGCCAGCACCTTAACCAATACATCAAACGGTCTTTCTAGAATTGGGATCTCTAGGAACATAGTGTCAAATTATTGTGGACAAAAAGAAGTAAGCATTCCATTAAAACTCACTGCATTCTGCCTCTTCTACCAAAGTCACATAAATTGGCCAAAGTTTCCATCATCCCAGGATGTAGAATTAGTCCGTGCTTTTGGCAAATATCCTCTACCTGAAAATTATATGTTTTCATGAAATTTTATTGGCAAGCTATAAACAAAAAAAAGCTATGTATAAAAAAAACCCTGCATGATTGAGAAAGCAAAATTTCTCATGTTTTAGAGTAAACGGTGTTCAAAACTCACTCCCCTAGGACCTTGCACACAAAGCATTGAAAGAGCTGGAATTCGCTCAATGTAGCAGGCTTCAGACCTGCTTCGTATTTCACCTTCTCATAGTCCTCATATAACAGTTAAATATTACCTGCCACAAAAATGTCCCAGAGAATTGAATTCTGAAACATGTAAGTCAACAATGATATTTTTGGATAGCGCTGGAATTAAAAAAAAAAAACAGTGAAAAGCAAAAATAAGGAGCCAGACTGTAGGTAGTAGCCAAGATTGGCTAAGGCATCTGAGCTTGAAAATGCCAGCAACAGCAAACAAAACCTTAATACGTTGAAAAATTGACAGTTTGCATTCTTTTCATGAAATTCAGAGTTCATCTGCTTTGGGCAACTGCCTCACTCTGCCCAACAATAGTGCCAACTCTGAGATGGGATTCTTATTACTTTCAGAAAGCTGGACATCCATTCTATGCACTGCAAGGCAGCCATTTGTCCATAATGGTATAGGGTTTTCAGCTTGTGCAGAGGGTTGGACTAGAAGACCTCCAAGGCCTTCCAACTTTGTTACAGTATTTTATTATTCTGTTATGCACCTCTTCCTGTTCAAGGCCTTGTAATGGAGAGTGGATTTCTATATTGCTGGGTATTTTTTCCCTTCGTGTAAAAAAATAATAATAATCTATTTCTGATATTTTTTTATCAATGCAACATAGGTTAAAAGCTAATATAGAAGTATATAAAGATTTATGTATTGACATCCAAATGGATCTGCATCACTTAGGCTACCTTATCATATTTAAGCCTAAAACCTAGAACATTCAAAAGACAAAAACAAAGGCATACTAAACAATATTTTAAAATTACTATAATATCTAATAAAAGTGACAAAGCAAGCAAGTGGCAGGATTTCCCAACTTAAATTTATGCTAGTACTGACTATATAAATAGACTAGTAAATCTATCTATCTATCTATCTATCTATCTATCTATCTATCTATCTATCTATCTATCTATCTATCTATCCATCATATTTATATAGCCACCCATCTCGCAAATATGACTCTGGGAAACATACAATTAAAAAATAAGCCCCCCCCAAATGAACAACATTAAAAACATTCTACAATTTAAAAAAACACACCATAAAGACAAAGAGAAAGCACTTTCAATGTTACAAGCTATATAGCTATCTCACAATTCACTATTTCCTTGAGATCTTCAAGCTTGTTGACACAACCATGTTTTAAGGGACTCCCTGAAGGATGGGGTCAATCTCACCATGGTGTGTCGGTTGATGTTCCACAGGGTGAATGCCGTGACAGAAAAGGCCCCTCTCCTGGGTCCCACCAGATGTGATTCCTTAACAGATGGGACCACATTTTTTTCTGCTGGACATGATGGGATAGGCAGATGAGATTGGGAAGAGGTGGTCCCTCAAATGGTCCCTTACCTCAGGAAATGAAAGAAGGCCTGAGCAAATCTGGTCTTCTTGCAGAAATCTCTGGGTTAATTTTTCAAAATCCAGCTCTCCGTTGTGTTCTTTTAATATCTGCTTCAGTGCCAGAAATGTGTTTTCTGATGTCCAAGAGCTAAAGAATGATAGCATGAAGAGACAACTTATCTTGCATTCTTGAAAAAAGAAGCTACATATTAAAATTTTAACATTTACATATTAGAACTGTTGTCTTAGCCTTAGGCTATTGCTAATCAAACGGAAGCTGAAAACAGAAGATGCTTTTTTAATTGATATTTATAATATAATATGCAAAATTAAAATAGAACCTTGGATTCTTTTTATTTTGATTCTTCTCAGGAAGGGTATGTTGCATTTTGCTTGATGCCTGGAGTATTAATAACTGGATCAATTTTTCATAATCTATCTAAAAGAAACATAAAGAAATATAATTTCAAAGGCTAATTTTAAAACGGGGATTCAAAATTCCAGAAGGAAAAAAAACATGGTGTAGAAAATATTACTGCTATTGGTTGAACTGTGTATAATATCTGTTAATAAACTAAATCTAATTTTAGTATAGCTGAAGAGGCTGGATCTGCTGAAATCCATGGGATCAGAACAGAAGAAAAACCACTTAGGTCAGACAAATAGCCAATACTGAAAGCAGTCTATTATTAATTGACTTTCCATAATTATCAACCAAATCACTATGGTTAAGCCAAAGGCAAGAGAGGAACACTGTAACAGTTTATGCTCTTGTCTCTTTGCAACTGGTATTTAAGGACACATGCTGCTTCTAATCCTGAATATCCATCCATCCATCCATCCATCCATCCATATCTATCTATCTATCTATCTATCTATCTATCTATCTATCTATCTATCTATCTATCATCTACAGGATAGTCCTTGGTAGCCTTATTCTTATACAAGATTTGTTGAATCCTCCTTCAGAGCTATCTAAATTGACAAATAACCACCAAATCCTATGAGAGGTCAATTCCACTGGCTATTATCACTTAGAGTAGTAGGGAATATTATCACTTACAGTAGTAGGGAACATGGTGTTTTTCCCTGCTTGTGGTTATAAATTAAGATTCCTCCAGACCTATGCCATCAATATGCCAAAAGAATAAGGTAGTCTTTAAAAAGCTCCTTTCCAATGAGCTCAACATTATAAATTTGATACATAGTTCAAAACCTTATACTAGCATACCAGTTCTTGGTCATTAGCTTGTGAACACCTCTTGAAAAGCAGTTTGACAGTTGGTAATTGTAGCGGGATATCATGTTTGAGAAGCAGGGTGCTCAACTGGGCCTGAGACAGAAATCCTGATTTCCTGGGATCCATCTCCTTGAGCTCTTCATTCAGGCTGGTCAAAGCAGTGAGACTTATAGGATGAAGTTCAAATTCCTTTCTGAGCAGAACTAGAAGAGAATCATCCTCATTCTTGGTCTCTGTTAACTCTGGCTGAATGCCCTGATGAAAGAAATGCTTTTATTTTACTTACAGGACTGTCCCTTCCCAATTGTTTCTATCTTTCTCACCTGATGTAGTAGGATGGTCATGATGTGGGGTCCATCAGATAAGATCTGTCAACTGATGGGGCTTGGGAGGAGGGCCTTTTCTGCCATGGTGCCCACTCTGTGGAACATCATTCCACCCGACATTACATGAACCCCTACCCTGATGGCCTTTTGCAAGGATCTAAACACTTGCTTTTGTACCCAGATCTGGACCCAGAAGTGTGATGAGCCCATTTCTTGGCTTTGCTGAAAGTTATTTATGCAACTTGGCTGCTATGTTTTTTGTTTTATATTTTGCATTTTAAAAAATCAATTTTATTATAAGAGTCATTTAAGTGAGAAAGGTGGCTGGATAAATGAGATGATAGATAGATAGATAGATAGATAGATAGATAGATAGATAGATAGATAGATAGATAGATAGATAGAGCTAGATATCTCAGAGTGCCATGAAATAAGTAAAAATGATAGAGCAATATTAAGAATTGACATAGACAAACAGTTACTAAGGCCCAAAGCTTGAAAAAAATAACCAAGTTTTCATTTTATATTTGGGGACACAGCACAGAAGGCTGTGTCTTTCGTCTTCTCACAATGGTAGAACTCGGGAGAATCCCCTTAACTGAGCTTACTATTTGCACTAGAGGGTTACAAAAGAGGTATTGATGGAAGGAGTAGAAAAAGTCAAGGTAGTAGCCATGACCATACAATTGAAGCCTCACTCTTTTGATGTGTATTGTAATGTTTCTGATTTAGATGTAAAAAAAGCAATGGGGCTTCAGTCGCATGGTCACAGCCAGCATCTTGACTTTTTCAACTACCACTGTATGCCCCTGATTTAGCTCCATTTCTATCCATTTCATAACATACAATGGATATTATGTATTTTATGATACCTGCCCATTCTCTATTTATGACCTCCTTTATAGAATTTACACGTTGTCTACTATCTTCTCCAAGCAGCTTTGAAGAATTAATTTTATATCCAAACAATGTTAATTGTGTGTATGTCCTTGGATATAGATATGTGTGTACCTCTAAATCAGTCTTGGCTCCAGGCAACTACATGGACAAGTCCCTGCAGTTTCCTTGGCAACATTTCTTGGCAGTGGTTTGCCATTGCTTCCTTCCTTAGGCTAAGAGAGAATGACTGGCCCAAAGTCACCAAGCTGGCTTTGTGCTTACGACAAGACTAGAATTGAGTCTCCCAATTTCTAGCTCAGTACACTTTAACCAGTACACCAAATTGTCTCTTATGTTAATATTAAATAAATATTAAAAATAAATATTTGTGATCAAGATGTTTTTAAAGCACACAAAAGTACCAGCAGAAGATAAAAGTAATATCAAATTGCTGTTCTGCAAACTACCTAATTATATAGAATCATTAGATATATTTATGAACAGTCGCAAATTTTTATGAAAGCACAGAATTTTTCAACTGAGATGCCATAATTGAAAAGGCCCTCTTTATGGTCGATGTGTGACACATTTCATTTAGCATGACATCTGGTCAAGGATCTAGTTAAAAGGACTGGTAGGAAACCGAGTTAGCTATATGTGGTGATCCTTCAGATCATCTGAATATGACTTAAAAATTAATTTGCCAACACTTTGAAATCAGCCCACAAAAGACTTAGGATTCTATGCACAGGTTAAGTCGTGGACATACATACTACAATAAAACTATTTGGTTTCAGTAAACAAGCTCCATATAATACTTTGGTAAGAAAGTTTTACCACTGTGGTAAAATATATTGGACTATTTCTGCCTCTCTAGAAGGTGCTTATGAAACCAAGTGTAACTACTGAAGTAAACAATGTTTACTTACCTGTTGTTGAAATGGTTTTGAATTCTGAGCTTCAAAAGATGGTTTTTTGATAGAGTGAATGTAAGATAAGGATTTATCCCCACAGGGTGCAGTAACACAATGCAAATTTAGTGGTTTTAGTTCCTTAAATAATGAACAGGAAGTAAAAAAAGAGGAGTAAAGAAAAATCAATTTTCATTCTGTAAAATCAGTACAAATACTGACATCCTTTTAACAGGAAAAAAAAAGGACGAAAGATCATGACCATGGCAAGGGTATAGGCTGAGCTCTGTGGGGAGGGATTTCCAGCTCTTTTTCCTCACAAATTGGCACATTCTCCTGTATTATATAAAAACTATTAATATTACATTTGGAAGAGAAGAACTGAAAGAACTGATAGCCTGTCATCATGAATACATGTGTGAATGAGGGAAGAATGTTTTTTAACAAAAGATTTATCCAGTCTTTTGTCATGTCCAACATGCATCTCTGTCCATCTATGGCAGGGGTATCAAACTCATGTTGTCACGGTGGCATCACATGACATATTAGGACTTTTCCCTCCTTCGTTAAACCAGGTGCGGGTCAGTGCTTAAGGCATCCGGCCTGAGGGCTGGGAGTTTGACAGCCCTGATCTATGGCAATAATAACACAATAACAACCACTTAATTGATACCTTGCCCATAATCTACTACTAAGCAGTTGCCTTATTCCTGTTCATTCAATCTTCCCCAGTCTAGTCTGCTCAGGGTGGACTCTTGGAATTTTGGGAACTACTATCCCAAGTAGGGGCAGGCAATAGTGGCAGCATTCATAATAAAAATGATGATATGAAAATGATGATGTGTACATCATGACATCATTATGCTCATGAAACAATAATATCACAAGATCCTACGGAAGACCATAGTTACTTTATTCCATGTCCTCATTTACTCTCATGCTACAGTAGTGGCCAAAATTGTGGAAACCTTTTGGGAAAAGTGTATTTTCTAACGCTAGTTAATAACACCACTTTTTTTTTGGAGTAGTACCATAAAATTATATATCAATGGAAAAATAATTTAATCAAGAATATAATGCAATAACTTTTATGAAGGATTTGCTATTAGAATAGCAGTTACAGCATAAAGAAGAAAAGTGAAACACGTAGCAAAAAACAAGATATACAAAAATTATCATCATAGAAAAAATGAAATATACAAAAATAATCACGTCAGTTAATACTTAGTTGGGTAACCTTTAGCATGAATTACGGCCTTACAACATCTTCCCATGGAGTGAACCAAGTCTTTTAGTTCTACAGCTGTTATAATGTGAAACCAAGATTGAATAATTGCGTCTATTAACTGGATTTTATTGCTTGGTCGCTTCTGACTAACAAGTTTCTTTAGTCGGCTCCGTAGATTTTCAGTTGGGTTAAGGTCTGGGCTATTCCCAGGCCATTCCAGCAGTGGAATATGATTATCTTGAAACTCCCCCCAAAAAAGTGGTGTTATTAGCCATCAAACCTCAAAAATACACTTTTCCCAAAAGATTTCCACAATTTTGGCCACTACTTATCACTGTGATCACCCATTGAAGGTCATCTATGAAAAGTTGGATAGGATACTCACAGGAATGGAAGAAAATTTAATAAAATTGTTTTATAATTTTTTGCTATATATTGAATTGGAGGAGGAACAGGTAAAAGAAACAATGATAGCTTGGGGAAGAAATTTTGGACATTCAATTGAACTTGAAAAATGGCAACAACTATGGGAAAGGAACTATAAATTAACAATGTCCACCGCATATAAGGAAAACCAATATAAAATGTTTTATAGATGGCATATGCCACCGGAGAAGTTAGCAAAAATGTTTAAAAATAAATCAGTGAAATGTTGGAAATGTCACCAACTACCAGGATCCTATTATCATATGTGGTGGACATGCCCTGAAGTAAAAAACTATTGGAATAAAATTAAAACCTGGCTGGAAGAAATGACAATTATGTATTGAATTCAAATCAGAGTTGTTCCTATTGGGTATCCTACCTGACAAAATTAAAAAGGAATATATTTATTTGATTATACATAATAACAGCTGTAAGAATTGTTTATGCTCAAAATTAAAAATTAGAGAAAATACCTTTGGAAGATGAAGTAATAAAAAAAGATTTTAGATTGTGCAGAAATGAACCGATTAACTTTGTTGATTAAAGATAGGGAAGAATCAGAATACTTTATTTATTTATTTATTTATTTATTTATTTATTTATTTATTTATTTATTTTTCGAATTTCTATACCGCCCTTCTCCTTTCGGACTCAGGGCGGTGAACAGCCAAAATAAAAGCATTTATACATAAAGTACGATTAAAAATAGATTTAAAATAATTAAATTTGGCCCATAGTTTAAAATTTATCAATTTAAAATCCATATCAAAATTTAAAATCAACCATAAAATCATAAAATCAAGAGAGACCGGCTAACTGAAAGAGATGAGTTTTTAGGGCCCGACGAAAAGTCCGGAGGTCAGAGATCACTCGTATCTCTGGGAGTAGATTGTTCCAAAGGGTAGGTGCCACCACAGAGAAGGCTCTCCTCCTGGGGGTCGCCAGCCGGCATTGTCTAGCCGACAGCACCCTGAGGAGGCCCTCTCTGTGGGAGTGAACTGGCCAGTGGGAGGCTATTGGTGGCAGAAGGCGGTCCCGTAAGTACCCTGGCCCTAAGCCATGGAGCGCTTTAAAGGTGATCACCAACACCTTGAAGCGCACCCAGAAGTCCACCAGAAGCCAATGCAGCTCGCGCAGGAGAGGAGTCACATGGGAGCACCCCGTCGCTCCCATAATCCCCCGCGCGGCCGCATTCTGCACCAGTTGGAGCCTCTGGGTGTACCCCAAGGGGAGCCCCATGTAGAGAGCATTACAATAGTCCAGACTAGAGGTGACGAGTGCTTGAGTGACTGTGCGTAGTCACAGATCCAGAAAGGGGCGCAACTGGCGTATCAGGCGAACCTGATAAAAAGCCCCCCTGGCCACGGCCGTCATATGCCCTTCTAAAGACAGCCGTGGGTCCAGGAGGATGCCCAAGTTGCGGGTCCTTTCATGGGGGCCAGTGATTCGCCCCCAATAACCAGCGATGGCGTCAGCTGGCTATACCGGGACGCCGGCAGCCACAGCCACTCGGTCTTGGAAGGGTTGAGTCGAAGCCTGTTTCTCCCCATCCAGACCCACAAGGCCTCCAGGCACTGGGACATCACTTCCAAGGCATCGTTGGGATGGTCTGGGGTGGAGATGTACAGCTGAGTATCATCAGCGTACTGATGGAACTCCCCCCCAAACCACGGATGATCTCACCCAGCGGCTTCACATAAATGTTGAACAGGAGGGGCGAGAGGACCGACCCTTGTGGCACCCCACAAACAAGGCGCCTCGGGGTCGACCGCTGCCCCCCTATCAACATGGATTGCGACCGGTCGGAGAGATAGGAGGAGAACCACCGCAAAACGGTGCCCCCCCATTCCTAGTCCCTCCAGCCGGCGCAACATGATACCATGGTCGATGGTATCAAAAGCCGCTGAGAGGTCTAACACGACCAGGATAGAGGAGTAACCTCTATCCCGAGCCCTCCAGAGATCATCACCAACGCGACCAATGCCGTTTCCGTGCTGTACCCAGGTCTGAAGCCGGACTGGAGCGGATCCAAATAGACAGCTTCATCCAGGTACTGTGGAAGCTGTCGCGCCACCACACTCTCAACAACCTTTGCAATAAAGCGAAGGTTGGAGACTGGACGATTAGCCAAAACAGCCGGATCCAGGGATGGCTTCTTGAGGAGAAGCCTCACCACCGCCTCTTTCAAGGCAGCCGGCAGGACACCCTCACTCAAAGAAGCATTAATAATTCCCTGGAGCCAGCCTTGTGTAACCTCCCAGGAAGCCAGCACCAACCAGGAGGGACACGGGTCCAATAAACATGTGGTGGCGTTCAGCCGTCCCAAGATCCTGTCCACGTCCTCGGGATTGAACTCCTCCCAAATAACATTCTCAAGGCCTGCCTCAGTCATCTCGTCTGAACTAACCCAGTCAGCGGCCAAGTCTTCCAGAATCTGAGTTATTTTATCATCCAGATACTGTACAAAATCCTCAGCTCGGCCCTGCAAGGGGTCCTCCTGTGCTCCCAGATGGAGAAGGCAGCGGGTCACCCTGAACAGGGCAGCTGGGCGGTTATCTGATGACGCGATAAGAGTGGCAAAATAACTAGATTTTGCCACTTTTATCGCCACTAGGTAGGTCTTAATATGAGACCTTACCAGTGTCAAGTCGGATTCGGAACGGCTGGCCCTCCAACCATTCTCTAGGCGTCTTTTCCGGCGCTTCATCTCTCTCAGCTCCTCGGAGAACCAAGGAGCTAAGTGAGTTCGGTGCCGGGTCAGAGGCCGCAAAGGCATGACCCGGTCCAAAGCCCCGGCAGCCGCACTATCCCAGGCGGCCACCAGGTCATCAGCCGAGTCGTGAGCTAGAGTTTCAGGAAATGGCCCAAGCTCCATCTGGAACCTATCAGGATCCATCAGGCGCCTGGGGCGGAACCACCTGGTTGGCTCCGCCTCCCTGCGATGGGGTGCGGCAGTCAGAAAGTCAAGTCGAAGGAGCGACTGGTCAGACCATGACAAGGGTTCAGTATCTATATCCCCTATATCAAGGTCACTCAACCACTGACCAGAGACAAAAACTAAGTCCAGAGTGTGTCCCCCCATGTGAGTAGGGCCGTGAATTACTTGGGTCAGGTCCATGGCCATCATGGAAGCCACGAGCTACCTCAGAAGTTTCACCAATGGATGGCAAGTTGAAATCCCCCATGACCACAAGTCTGGGGGTATCAGCCGCCACCTCAGCTATAACATTGAGGAGTTCGGGCAGGGTCGTCGCCATGTGGCAGGGAGCCAGGTACGTGATCAACAGACCCATCTGCATCCCACGACCCCACTTCACGAAAAGGGACTCACATCCGGCTATCTGAGGCACAGTGGTCTCCCTCGGATCAAGACCCTCTCTTATAATGACCACCACCACCCCGCCCCTGCCCTGAGCTCTCGGCTGATGAAATGCACGGAAGCCTGATGAGCACATCTCCACGAGGGGAACCCCCCCCTCATGGCCCAACCAGGTCTCCGTAATACCTGCCAGGTCCTCCTGAATAAGATCACAAATGAGGGGGGCTTTATTTACTACGGACCTGGCATTACACAACATCAGCCGGAGACTCGGGCCCTGAGACTCTAAGCAGCCTGAGGAACGGGAAGAGCTAAGGGGACCGAGGCACGCAATTGCTCGGAGATAGCAAGCGCGTGCCCCCACCACATGATATGGCCCCCTGCTCCCGCCATACCTGCCCCTCCCACTCAGCGTATTGATGGAGAAGCCCTCAGTAGAGGGCATTCTAACAGTCCCCTTTCCCCCAGAGTCCGTACCCCCTATGGCACCATTAACAGCCGGACTGGCCAACCCTTTAGAATATGAATTATTTTTATTGTTGGTTGGAAAAGAGATATAAATGATTAATTTTATAACTATGTGTAAACATTTGATGGCAAGAATATGGTTATAGGAATGAACTTTTATAGTGGTTTGGATGGCGATTAAGATAGAAGAAACTGTTGGAACAAGAAGAATAAAAAGAACTGAAGAAGTCAACACCGAGATGTCACAGGGGATGACTGATGTATTAAATGTTTGTTTGTCTTAAAAAATAAAAAACTTTTTTTTTTTAAAAAAAAAGAAAGGTTGGCCTATTAGTAGGGCTGATCCTGAGACTGTTTCCCATCTGTAAATGAATGAGAAAATGAAGGTACTATAATAATTGTAACAACTTACTTTGCTGTCGACAGATCTGATAACATTTGTCTCTGTTTGTTTGGATGTATATTTTTCCATTCCATCTTTGTTCTGAGATTCAATATTCACACCATTATTGATTTGCTGACCAGGTGGCTTATTGAGGTCTGGGAATTTTCCATTTCTCTGTCTTATATTACACAGAGGTAATGTTTGGAGCATGGACTGTGCCTCAGGTTTCGCAATCTCCTTTGCTTTCCTGTGGGTGGGAAGTATTCAATATATATTTTGGCACCGAGATGTAACTACTTAATCTTTTCTCCATTTACATCCAAAATATTTCTTTTATGAGACATTTGTTTATTAGGCAAAAATGAGGTAATGTAATCAATGGATGTAGCCCCAAAAGGCGAACTAATTATATCTATATCTGTTGCTGAACTACTAAGAGGCATGTGATGTCATCACCAGGAAGCATATGACTAGATTTTGAGCTCATGGTGGTAACAGCAGTCTTGTTTTATGCCTTCCAATAAGCAGGGAAAATATAGGTTTAATAAATGAATGAATGCTAGAATGCTAATATTTGAAATAGAGGTTCTCTTCTACTTATCAATCAGTTGATAAGGAATAATAACCAATAGTATTTAAAAATTTTAGTTCAATCAATCAGAATACAGCTGCAAGGGACCTTAGAGGTCTTCTAGTCCAGATCCCTGCTCAAGCAGGAGACCCTTATTTTAACCATTTAGTTATGTCCCACTCTTGGTGACTTTATAGCAAGTGCTCTCCATGGTGCCCTGTCAATTTAACAATAGGATAGGATTAATAGTAGGTGGTGGAGGAAAAACCTTGTCCATCAATGTTCTCTTCTATTTCTTCCTTTTGTGTGATTTCAGATCTTACACATTATGGATGCTTCCTGCACTTGTTAAATCTAGACCTATGTACCATTATCTTACAATGGTTCTGTTATATTTTGTTGAAAGACAAATGTTAAGGAAATGTTATGTCTTAGAATGTCTCCCTTTTCTGTGAGATGTATGCAAAGTACAAGGAAAACACTGTTGTTTAGAAGGAATGGGGAAGTGGTTGGTCCATCACAGTTTCTCATTATGACATCCATAAGAAGGATTTGCCCTGTAATAGAAAACTTCAGTTGAAGTTAAGCCATCTAACAAGATACCTAAGAAATGAAGTTTTGGCTCATTCAATAAGTCTGAATAGAAGCAAAATGGCATGGTGAAAAAGGAGAATAAGCCTCTCCTTTACAACACAAAGTCTTTGATGAAAATTACAAAGAAGGTATATTATATAATTTGCAGAGTTACATCAGGTGCACTTCCTTTAAACCCGGAAGTTATTGGTGAAAATTACAAAGAAGTTATTCTATATAATTTATAGAATTGTGTACATACGTGGCTTCAAGGCTGAAACAGTGGAAGGGGAAATGAAATAATTTGAACTAAAAGAATTCGGAGATTGTCCTGTTTAACGATCCCTGGTTAATTGAAGGCAGGCTTGTATGAATCCAACACAATTTTAGTTCTTACAAGTGTGTCTGAACACCCAGAGAATATTTATCTTGGACCAGCAATATAGAATAGAATAGAATAGAATAGAATAGAATAGAATAGAATAGAATAGAATTCTTTATTGGCCAAGTGTGATGGACACACAAAGAATTTGTCTCCGGTGCATAAGCTCTCAGTATACATAAAAAGAAAAAAAATACATTCATCAAGAATCATAAGTTACAACACTTAGTGATAGTCATAGGTTACTAATAAGCAATCAAATCATACTAGGAAACAAATAAAACAGTATAAATCATAAAGATACAAGCAACATGGTGTTAAATATTATAAATAAATATATAAATAAACAAGTTAAATATTGTGTTAAAAGCATCTAGGACAGTGGTTCCCAACCCTTCCAGCTCGGTGGACTGGTGGAGGTGGTGGGAGCAAGGGAAGAGGGAATGGTTTCTCGCGCATGCATATGTGTGCATGCACATCCGCCCACCACTTCCACGACTTGGTACATACAGTATCTGTGGATTTATAAATGACATAACAATAAAAAAACAATTTATCCTCCTTCCTGGGCATTTAAAAATAACCCAAAACTGAGGTAAAACTATTTGAGCCCTTTAATTTGTGTGCTCTTCCTGCAATGGATTAAAAAATGAAATGTTTCCCTATTCTCTTAAATGTCCTGATGCTGATAATAATAATAATTTAATGTCAAGTATCGGCATTTATTGCATTTTAATTGCAATATATGTTTTGTGGCATCTTTGATATTTTAGTTAAAGACATAATGCTATGAATTCTAATCAAAATTACATTTCCCTGAGATCATACTTACCCATCACTTTTCTCTACAAGACATCGGACATATTTGCTCCCAATTATCTTTATTACAGTCTCGTAATTTGCACCAAATCCATAAGGTAGGTTTCTTACTGAAGCCATTACCAGTTCTGTCTTGCTCTCCCCAAAAGATCACTTTCCTGTAATTTCCCTGGAGAAGTTTATTTCTTTAAAAATGGAAACTGAAAGTGGGTAGATGGGTCCTGCAAATATTTTAGGAATATATGAGTATCAATTAACTCAGTAATGAAATAACAAAAGCTTGGCTGAAGAGCTTATAAATTAGCTACGTTGTTTAAAAGGAGCCCAAGAAAGTAAATTAAGCATGAACAAATGTAAAAAGCTGTATTTTTCATATTCATACATTTATCCTGAAAAAATTTCCCATACAACTGGCCCAATTCCAACACAATAGCAAGATTAGTTAATAATTTGATTGGGCCCATATCAGGAATCATCTTGAGAAGCAACCAACCTACAGGTTGCTATGTAATTGGTATTAGATTCTCATAATAGCTAGTAGTTCTGCATCTAAAGAAATTGCTGCTGTACAATGTAGTCCCATGATACTCCAAGAAGCTGCAAGCACTCTTAAATTCAGTGGAACTTTCTCTTAGTGAAACCTCTACAGGATTGTAACTTTAGAGGATTCCCCAGTCTTAATATTTAAATATTATCACTGCAAATGTGACGTGGGAAAATAATTTCCTTCTAAATCATTAATTAACAGTCTGGAAAAAAAATAACTCCCTTTTTACTTTTCAAATTAGTAGCTTTCGCAGCAGTTAATAACATAACAAAACAATGGAACAAGTTATCATCCCCAAATTCTTCAGCTCATTGACTCCTTTATAAAATTTCAGATTGACTTCATAGACACTTAATTCCAATAATTTATTATAGGAAAATAATTTAATTTTAACTAATAGTCCTATGAACAATAACTATGACAATAATAGAGACAACTCCAGGCTGTTTTCACTGATGGCTGACCATCCACCCCTGTCTTGCCACTAGATCTACAGAGACGACAAAAGATTAATTGATCCCAATTGTCCTTCTGTCATTTATTGACCCCATACATTTATGAGGGGTAATCTCCCTTGGGTAATCCCATCAACCATTGTGGATTTATACTGACAACTTTGAGGAACCAGCTCTAGAGACTTCATGGTAGAAAAATACTACAAGCCTTGGTAAAAATACCTGGGTTGTATTTCTTGGCAAAACCTTTCCAGAAAACCCTTTAAAAGTCCAGGAAATGTCTCCAGAACTCCTAATTTCTTCCTACAACACTGGAGAAAACTTGAAGTACTTTTTTTTTCTTTCTCATAATGACATTGCTTTACTATAGTTAGATTTCTCTCCCTTCCCCCATACCACAGCTAGATTAGTACAGTGTTTTCATGGAAATAACCAATTAGAATTTTTATTTTTATTTTTTTAATTTGATTTATATGCCACCCTTCTCCGGAGACTCAGGGCGGCTTACAATGCGTTAAGCAATAGCCTTCATACTTTTGTATATTTATACAAAGTCAGCTTATTGCCCCCACAAACTGGGTCCTCAATTTACCTACCTTAGAAAGGATGGAAGGCTGAGTCAACCTTGAGCCTGGGGAGACTCGAACTAGCAGTAATTGCAGGCAGCTGGATGATAATAACAGGCTATTAGTCTGCTGCACCACCAGGCTCTTCTACTTTAGGGTTTTTACTAAAACACCTAAAGTCTTTGAGATGAACTCAGTTCCTGCTGACTTCATGGACACATCTAGCTCCATGTAGCTTTCTTGACATCAGTATTAATTGGTTTGCTGTAGCCTTCTGTTAACTTCTCAATCCAGGTTCCAGTATTTCCTAGAAGTCCATGAAACAATCAGATCTAACCCACTTTCCCCTTTCAAGACTAGTTCACAAGGATCCAATTATCTTATTTTGAATGGCCTAATTGCATCCTCACAGAGATTTAACTTTCCCTAAGTACAAGATGGCTTTTAAAGAAAGTTTGTCATTAGTTTCCTTAAGATCACAGTCAGCAAAAAGAAATAACACTCTGGCCTTAAGCATACGTTTTCCTTTCTCCCTCTCGGGTTTTGAGACACCCACCTCTGCGCAGTCTTCAAAGGCAACAGGCAATCAGCCACCATAAATGAACTGCTTTTCATAATCACCATAGCAAGGAAGGTGCTGTTACTAAGGACGCAGTGTGTTGTTGCTGGGCTGGGCAGAGCTTGTCATTCCATAGTCAATGCAGTGAGAGGCGTGCATTTCAAATAATTAGACTTGCAGACTGTAGGCCTAGTGCAGGCAATACCAAAGGGCTCAAAAGGGAGATTATTATTATTATTTTTTTTGCCTATCCACATGGTTGGCAAGCAAAATCTTTCTCTACAACTCACACATTGCAAAGGTTTAGAACAACAACAAAAAAGCAGAGTCTGAATGGTGTGGGCAAATCAAGAACAGTTCATCCCAATGAATGTAGCCTTTACCCCAATCCTTTAACCACAATGCTCAGATAATGAACGAATGCAGTAAAGATCAGTATTATTTATTTGACTATATTAGCCGCCCGACTCTAATGGATTCTGGGCAGCTAATAAGTGGTCTTCTTGGGCCAAACAGATTAGATCAAATGTTGCCATCCTTACATTATTGATAAATCAAAAGTGAGCTCTAAGGATTTAATGGAACTGAATTCAGAATTACATAAATACTAATAGTTGATAGGTTTGTGGAGATTGGTTAGAATTTAGAAAGGCTAAATAAAAAGGGTTGGGAGGGTACTAAATCCATTATAAAGCAAAAAGTTTAGAAGTACACAAAAAAGTCCTAGTTTAACTATTTTAAAAATGGATGGAATTGTCTATTAATGCCAGTTCTATGATAATTGTAGGCAGATTGAGCTTTATATAGCAATAGCACTTAGATTTACAGTATATATCGCTTTACAGTGCTTTACCGCCCTCTCTAAGCATTTACCGAGTCAGCATATAACCCTCAACAATTTGGGTCCTCATTTTACCCACCTTGGAAGGATGGAAAGCTGAGCCAACCTTGAGCTTGGTGGGATTTGAACTGCCAAATTGCAAGCAACCGTTAGCAGTCAGCAGAAGTAGCCTGCAGTACTACACTCTAACCACTGTGCCACTGAGGCGCTATACCAACAAAAATAATAGGCATGAGTGTCATCAATGTTTATGTTCTAGAAATTATATTATGTATATCATGTATGTGAGCTTTCCCCCTCAATTTTATCCTCAAAATTGTGAGGTAAATTAGGCTGAGTGAGCACCCCAATGAACCTGATGATTTAATGGGGATTTGTTCAGCATTTTAAGTCCTGGACACCAGTGACTGGTACAAATAAAGGAGAATATTTTACCTCAGGGTTGAAATAAGAGGTCCTTGATGCTCTCTGAGCTTAGTTGTTTTCTTGCAGACGTTTCATTACCCAAACTATAATGGGTAATATCATCAGACTAGCATTGGTGATGTTACCTAGCTGGGTAGGGAAAAAACATCTGCAAGAAAATAACAAAGCTAGTTTCTGAAAAGCACTAAGGATTCATACAACTGAATTGGGCATCTTCAGGTTTTTTAAAATCAAGATATGGACTATCATCATTATTAAATTGTATTTTAAAACAATAAACAAAATGGATGCTTATCCCTCAATAGATTCAAACCATGGTTCATTCCAGGATACCTGACTCCTTATGTATGAAGGGAAAGAGCCAGCAGGAGTCCTCTTGTTACTTATTGCCAGTAATTTCCACCCATTATTCGCTGCCCACCACCATCTTCAGAAAACTTGGCAAACGTACCAGGCTGCATGTCAAGGAGAATCAGTGCTTTCCTATCATCACAGCACGGATTTTATATCTCCTAAACTACTCTGCAATCTGTACTTTTTAACCTCACAAATTTAAGATTGTACCTTAACATTTGGGGGAAACAGATGGCTCCTGCAGTCTGCCAACTTGTTGTTAAAAAGCATCTTCCAAGAATTGTTTTCTACCCATAGTCACTTAGCATAATTAACCTTTCATGTTGATTTAATAAACAGGAGCAAACTTTTGCCATATCATATTAATAAAGAGAGCCATTTAAAGATGCACACAGGGTTTTTTTGTTTTATTTTCATTCTGGGAAATGCCATCGTTCTTTTGTTTGTTCTTGAAGCTTGAAAAAATTATTACGATACAGGTCACCTAACGTTGCAAGTATTGCCAGTACTAATTGATGTACACAAGAAAAAAAAATGTTAACATTGTTTTGCTTCTTAAAAAAAATAATCAGAGAAATCTTAAGGCAGTGTAAAAACAATGATGATAGTTTCATTTATAAAGGGTTCTGGACTTCCTTCCTGGAGGCATATTTGTATCACAACTGGATATTGTACTGAACCCAAACTCCAGCAATCTTCATGGATTCTTCTAAGTGAGAATAAAAGGTATATTCATTTAAAAGGTGTGTGGTGTGTATGTCAAGAGAATGTTTCATCACCACTTCCAAAGCTTGATGCTCTGTGCTAACTCAGAGTGTTTGGAAAAAAAGAGGGGAAAAAAATCTATCTATCTATCTATCTATCATCTATCTATCTATCTATCTATCATCTATCTAAATATTTCTATCTATCTATTTAAATATATCTATCTGTCTATCTATCTATCTATCTATCTATCTATCTATCTATCATCTATCTATCTTTCTATCTATTTTTCTATCTATCTATCTATCTATCTATCTATCTATCTATCTATCTATCTTTCTATCTTTCTATCTTTCTATCTATCTATCTATCTATCTTTCTATCTCTCTCTCTCTCTCTCTCTCTCTATCTATCTATCTATCTATCTATCTATCTATCTATCTATCTATCTTTCTATCAATCCATCTATCTATCTATCAATCATCTATCTAAATCTATCTATCTATCTATCTATCTATCTATCTATCTATCTATCTATCTATCTATCTATCTATCTATCATCTCTATTGGTGATGGTCATTGTTGACTAATGTTAAATGCAATGCATTATTGTTTTATATTTTATGATTTCACTAATGCAGGAAAAAAAAACTTCAGGAAGCTGGAATGAATGAAAAGTATTGTTCCATCTGTTCAAACATTGGTTGGTATTTTGGGTGCCCTGGGGCTTTTATATATAAGACTCTGTCTTATATATATTTTTGAACCCTGAAATAAGCACTTGGCCTTATTGCCATGTGCTCAAAAGCCCATTGGGCTAATTATCAGGGGATGTCTTATTTTGGGGAAAACAGGATGTGTGTGTGTGTGTGTGTGTGTGTGTGTGTGTATTAGTAAAGAAAGAGTACTCTGATGATGTCACCAGATGGCTGACGAAAGCTTAGTAAAATAAAATTTTAATTATTTTAAAATTTTAAAATTTTAAGTTCTGGAGCTCGCAGGATGTCTGCTTCTTTCTTTATTAATATACCTGATATATATGTATGTGTGTGTATATATATATATATGCTGATAAAGAAATAAAGAGAGACTAGTATAGATCTATTTCAAGCTATTTAGCTGTCATCAGCTAGCCATACCCTTAGTCGGATTCGAACGTTATATATATAAGAAAATTTAAATAGGCATAAAACTTTGCAATGAGATGTGCAATACATAACATGCAAAAACACATCTATAAAGTGATGCTATTTCCTAGTTACATTACATTACTACACAAATTTCTTTTTTTTATTTTTTAAGCACTAACATCTTCTAACTAAATTGAGGGGTCTCAGCTAGGCAGTTTGACATTAAGTGAATCCATTGAAAGATATGATCAACTTTTAAACATTTAAGTTACCCAAAGGTGCTGCATAAAGGGATACAGATACTTTAGAATTGGGGCTGAGGCTATTAATAATTGCAAAAATTAAAACAAAAAAATCCCACCTACAGTTACATGAAATTAAAACCAAATAAAAATTGATCATTTTTGAGAATTTATATACAAGAAGGAAATATCCAGGATAACAGAAAAAGAGAAGATACCATAAGTACCTTCTAGTGTCTTTTTCAAGAAAAAAACAGAAGGATATTTAAAACTTATTTAAACTTCTGTTCAAGAAAGTTATTTTCAATAACGTTCAAATTGTACTGCCAATAAAGGTACTTAACAGCACATCTGTTGGTAAGTATAAAACTGACACCACATCTGTTTATTGGCATGTGTGTAGCATGTTGGTAGAACATTTGGAAGATTGCGGTAAAATTAAGAATTTAATTACTTAATTTTTTCACATTCTGTAGCTGTGAAATTGCATTTAAAATTTACGCTACATTGGCCAAATAGAAGTGTGAATTTTTAATGTTTTTTTTATAAATTACAGTATTTTAGCATTCTACTTTTGTTGTTTAAAGAGAGAGAAAAAATATTTTTTTTCCTTGATTAGTTTAATCAAACTGCTTTCAAACTTCTAGTCATATATAGGTAAGCAGTTCTCGCTTAACGATGGTAATGGGGATTGACAGTTGCATTGTTAAGCAATGCAGTCATTCAGTGTGATGTCATGTGGCCACACCAGTTTCCAATTCCAGTTGCAACAGTTCCAGTTGCTATTATTAGGTGAATCCTGAAAGCTTCCAGCATCCTGGAGTCACGTAACTGACGTTTGCGTCTTCCTGCTAGCTTCCCCATTGACTTTGCTTGTTGGAAGTCAGGAGTGAACAGTACAAATGGTGATTATGGAATTGTGAGTTGCCAAGTGCCCGAATCATAATCACATGTCTGCAAGGATGCTGCAATGGTTGGAACTATGAAGAACAATCATAAGACCCCTCGTTCAGTGCTGTTGTAATTTTGAATGGTCATTGAACAATGCTGAACGGGGACTACCTGTATTTGAAAACACAGATTATATTGAAATAGAGTAGAACCACTACAAACAACTTTTTCAGTTGAATTCTTAATAACATTTTATAGATAAACAGTGAAACCTGCTTCATTTAATATTATGTTCCGTACTTTTGTTTGACCCTATGTCATGCCCCCAGATATAATTTGTGTATATACTGTTGTTATTCTCTGGTCCCATCTAGTGGCTGGGGCCAAAT